AAGAATACGTAAAGAAAAGAAAACTTAAACGAAAAATTCCAAATTGCGTTTCGATTTATGGTTTGCAAATTGGATTTATGAGATTTTGCGTGATTTTGCGTGATTTTGCGAGATTTTGCGAGATTTAATGGCTAAGTACCGTAAACGATTTATTAATATTTATTTACTGCAACAAATTCAGATTTTTTTTTACAGAAGGAAATTGATTTTCAGATTGAAAATAAAAGAACCTTCAACAGAAAAAAATATTTTACAAGTAGATATTTAAAGTATCTGTTTATATATCTGAGATTAGGTGAAGTAATTATTTATATTGTTCAAACTATTGTGCTCATTTTTATTGTTATATTCTCGACATTTCGGTTCTTGTGCGCTCCGGCCTTCTTCGGGGTCTGTTTACATTTCTGAGATGCTGTATTGTAAGAATTTACACTATTTACATAGTTCGGATTAGTCTCCTGATATTTATTGTCATAGTCACGATGCTTCGATCTCCTTAGGTATTGGAACTATTTACACTATTTACATTGTTCGGCCTGTTGTCCTCACATTTACTGTCACATTCACGACGTTTCGACCGTTATTACGCTCCAGCCTTTTTCAGGATCTGTCTATATTTCTACGATGAGGTACTGCAACTATTTACACTATTTACATTGTTCAGACTGTTGTTTTCACCTTTATTATCATATTCCTGACGTTTCGGCCTTTGTAGGCGCCGGTCTTCTTCAGGATCTGTCTATATATCGGAGATGAGGAATTTGTAACTATTTACACTATCTACTTTGTTCGGACTATTCTTCTCATCTTTATTGTCAGATTCACGACGTTTCGACCCTTGTACGCTCCGGCATTCTTCAGGATCTGTCAATATTTCTGCGATGAGGCATTGTAACTATTTACACTATTTACATTGGTCAGACTGTTGTCCTCACCTTTATTGTCATATTACCGACGTTTCGGCCTTTATAGGCGCCGGCCTTTTTCAGGATCGGTCTATATTTCTGAGATGAGATACTGTAATTATTTACACTATTTACATTGTTTGGACTGTTGTTCTCATCTTTACTTACATATTCATGTTGTTTCGACCATTCTTTTCACTGGCATTCTTCAGGACTTCTTTATTCCTGGGATGAAGTATTGTAACTACGCTATTTACATTGTTTGATCTGTTGTTCTCATTTTTATTTACATATTCATGTCGTTTCAGCCATTGTATGCACTGGCATTTTTTAGGATCTGTCTATATTTCTCAGATGAGGTACTGTAACTATTTATACTATTTACATTGTTCTGACTGTTGTCCTCATCTTTATTAGTATATTTCCATATATATATATATATATATATATATATATATATATATATATATATATATATATATATATATATATATATTGGCGTGCAATGGCCGAAACGTCGTGAATATGACAATAAAGATGAGGACAACAGTCCGAACAATGTAAATAATGTAAATAATTACAATACCTCATCTCAGAAATATAGACCGATCCTGAAGAAGGCCCGAGCGTAAAATGACCGAAACGTTGTGAATATGACTGTAAAGATGATGACAACAGTCTGAAGAATGTAAATAGCGAAAATAGTTAAAATCCCTGATCTCAGAAATATAGGCAGATCGTGAAGAAGGCCCGAGCGTAAAATGGCCGAAACGTTGTGAATATGACTCTAAAGATGAAGACAACAGTCTGAAGAATGTAAATAGCGCAAATAGTTAAAATACCCGATCTCAGAAATATAGACAGATCCTGAAGAAGGCCGGAGCGTATAACGGCCGAAACGTCGTGAATATGACAATAAAGATGAGGACAACAGTCCGGACAATGTAAATAATTAGTTACACTATTTATATTCGGTCTATTGCCCTCATCGTTGTTTTTATGACACTGTTTCGGCCGTTATGCTCTCCGGTCTTCCTCAGGTGTATATAGATCTGGGTAACATACAGGGAATTCTGAACTGAACCCTTTATTTAATCTACGGGGGTAGACTGTTGTTGTTCCAGTGCGCACATCTCGGGAGATTTAATAGCTCTTATTTTTAGTACTGCTCAGTTATTGTTTGACCTCTTTTCATTGAGTTCAAATACACACTCGCTGACTCTATTTTTGTTGTTGATATGACAACGTTTCTGCCGTTGTGTTTTCTGTCCTTCCTCAGGTATATACCGATCTGGATAACCTACAGGGAATTCTGTAATGAAGACTTTATTTAATCTAGACTAAGGTAGGCTATTCGAGTTCCACTGGTCATGTCTAGGGAAATCGTCTAGTTATTATTTTTTTAAGGACTTTTCACCATCAGCAACTTTCTATATGACACTAGTCAGTCCTCTCCAAAACTCCATGTCTTTTGCTAAATCATGAATGTGCCGTATGTCTACTACTCTCTTCAAAGTTTCACGGAGTCTAGGGGTGATGGAAGTTTCTTGATAGTTCTTTTAATGTCGTTATTCCGTGAATATAACATAGATGTCCAAGATCAATTTATATAAAGCTGAAAAAAATTCTACATTAAAATTAGAACTGTATATTGATCTTGGCAAACTACAAGAAAATTCTGAACGGAAACCTTTATATAATCTACGAGGTAGACTGTTTTGATTCTACTGCTCATATCTAGGGATATCATTTTTATTTAGTATTGTTCGCCTGACTGCCAGTACACTCACAATCACAATAACGATGTCATAACATTCACAAGCCAACGGTTTAATCTACAAGGCCAGTGTCACATGTCTTTACTCCGAAAGTGTAAAATTATGTTCATTATATCAGTCAGTGCATTGCGTGTTCTGGTAGTGGACTAACTGCATCTAACCAAAATCTTTATCCACTGAAGAAACCCGCAGCATACAACAGCCGAAATGTTCTGAATATGGCAATGAAGATGAAGATAACATTCCCTGTAGTGTAAATAATGTCAGTCAGTTATGAGCTATGCGTGATACACGCTTAGGCGATCATGTATCTTTCGATACATGACTGACGAGGCAGTAGGTTGCCATTTCTTTCTCCAGTAGACCAGTTGCCATCCAAGGCTATAGAACCTGGTCTGTCTTGCTATTTACCCATAGAAGAAGTGGATTCATACCTTTCCCAAGTGTATTAGTACGTAAGTGAATGTAATAGATTCGACTTGAATTTGAATTCGGCTTTCGATGCAAGACTGGCGAAGCAGATTTTTCCGCAGTAGGTTGCCATTTCTTTTTGCCGTAGACCAGTTGCCATCCAAAGCTATAGAACGCGATCTGTCCTGCTATTTACCCGTAGCTGGGGGCAGAAGAAGTGGATTCATACCTTTCCTAAGGGTATTAGCACGTAGGTGAATGTAATGGATTACACTGGTATTCGAGGTCGGCTCTTCGATTCAGTTATGTGCTATGCGTAGTACACACTTAGACGATCATGTATCTTTCGATAGATAACTGATGAGGCAGATTTTCTTCCAGCAGTAGGTTGCCATTTCTTTCTGCGGTAGACCAGTTGCCATCCAAATCCGGTCTGTCCAGCTATTTACCCATAGCTGGGAGGAATAGAAGAGGGGGAGAAGAAGAGGATTCATACCTTTCCGGAAGGTATGTAGTTGAATGCCTAAAATTACGTACAAAATTTTTAGACTTCCGCATTAAATGACCCATAGAGATATTGATATGTCGTGAAACAGAATCAACCAAATCAATATTTTCATCAGTTTATCTCTTGGAATGTACATTCTTCCAGGTAGGGGTCTGATTTCAATCGGTTTTAAACTCTGTTTAAATTATTCTTACTATTGTCCTCATTTTGTCGCCATATTTATGACAACGTTTCGGCCGTTGTACGCTCCGGCCTTCTTCAGGTGGTTGGCATGTCGAAATGAACCCTTTATTTCGCTCACTGGGTTAGACTGTTCTAGTTCCACGTCCCATGTTTAATGGGTGTCCGTTATCAGTTATCTCCTGTTAATTTCCCTCTCCAAGTTCTCCACCACCTTAACCAGGTATTGAACTCACACTCTTTGGGTCCTGTCACTGGATCTAACCAACACTTTTATCCACTGTGCCATGTGTCCTTGGATAAAGGCGTTAGTTAGATCCAGTGTTAGGACCCAAAGAGTATGAGTTCAATACCCGGTTAAGGCAGGAGAACTTTCAGAGGGAAATTAACAGGAGATAACTGATAACTGACATCCATTAAACATGGCACGTGGAACTAGAACAGTCTATCCCAGTGAGCGAAATAAAGAGTTCAGTTCGACATTCCAACCATCTGAAGAAGGCCGGAGCGTACAACGGCCGAAACGTTGTCATAAATATGGCGACAAAGATGAGGACAGTAGTCCGAATAATGTAAATAATGTACATAATACCTCATCTCAGAAATATAGACAGATACGGTTTTAAACTACAGTGAAGGCCTTGTCTCTATGAACGCTGATGAACAGGGTTACCACAGCCAAGCTTACTATCAACTTGTTATGAATGTGAGCACCTGACGATTGCTTTGAGCATGAAATAGACCGTAATGACAAGGTGCTGACTTAATATCCATTTCTTTTATTTCTATTAGCTCTGTCCCTGATATTGAGCACTTTAAGCAATAAAATACAGCATATATTTATCAAACAAAATATATATATATATATATATATATATATATATATATATATATATATATATATATATATTGGAGTGTATATGATAAAATAGAAATTATTCATATCAATGCGGTCATGCATAGTGGCTCATCCATTGATAGAGAGGGAGCAAGATTCCAAGGAAAGGATCTACTGGGGGCAGCGAGTTGTTTTGAGGTGGGGATACCAATTAATGGTGCCGATAAACCATGTCTCCAGGTGGCAGCCGTGGTAAGAAAAAAAAAAAAAAAAAAAAAGGAATGAAAAGAAAATTACCCAGGGTCATTGAGGCCAGCGTACTTTGGTGAAGGGAGGTTTCTCTTTCGCCAGGTTGGCGGTGCCAAATAAACTGTCAACTCATGACACACAACCTACGTGGATTCATTCAACCAGAAAAAAGCGAAATATTATCTATCTATCTATCTATCTATCTATCTATCTATCTATTTCAGTCAGTTCATATCTATCTATCTATCTATCTATCTATCTATCTATCTATGTGTGTGTATGCATATGTGTGCGGGCGTGTGTCTTAATCTTAATTTATTTTGTTTAAACGTTATTTTTAATTAAACATTATTTATTGTCGAAATACATCTAAAGCGTGAATATTCGAGAAATCTTGTCAGAAAAATATGAATAAATAAATAACTGAAGTCTTCTCTTCATATATATATATATATATATATATATATATA